ATATATATATATATATATATATATGACCTCCATCTCATCTCTTTGTGTATTCTATCCTACCCAGTCTTTCCCTTCTTGTGTCCATGTCTTCCTTTAGATACATTCTTATCTCTTTCCCTTTTCCTTCCCCTATTGTTTTCACAATCGAAAAAATCATTAAACTGTAAACTCGCATGGATGTTAAAGAGCATTCTTTTAGCCATATAGGAACACCTGTCAAAGAGATGCCAAACAATGCAAGAGCATGTGTTATCCACACTGAACTGGTGACTATTCGCAAAATAATATTGAATCCCAAAGCTGCAGGAATTCCTGAAAGCCTTAAATTATAAGAAAAGAAACAAAAGGCAGCGTAATTTCAAAGATGGTTTGACGTTGCGCTTAACCATCCTTATTAACCCACATTCATATCGTATCAACTTGATGAGGTTTAGGCGTCGAAAGCGATCTTCATCAGAGGCAGGTTAATAAGGATGGTTAAGCGCAACGACCAAGAAAAGCCCTGGCTTGGCCATCTCAGAATCCTAGAGGGAAAAATTTGTCTAACGAGTAAAGGTCTAGTGAAAAAGAAATAATTCCGAAGCCTACACGTTTCCTGAAGATGCCCTGCAAAAACAATACAAATGTCATGCGAAGCCTCGTGTCAGATATTTCTTGCCATCATTTTTACTGGCACTAGTTCGTATTATAGTTATGGTCGTTATCGCCACTAGTTTTCTGACCTGCCATTGCTGGAGATATCATCTCAAATGCGAGCCATGGTGAAGCGGATGTGAATTGACCCATCGCAATTTCCATGTAGAGCATCGGAACAGCGGCGAGAAGATAGCATGTGGCAAATTGAATCAGAAATGCCGTGCCTGAATCTCATGATACCTAATTAGCATTCTGAACAAAATTCTACTATTAGTAACTGTTCGGCAAGTTTAACCCATGGCCATTCGTTCAGCTCGTCTCTTCAACACGTACGAAGTAAGCCGTTTTAACTGCCACGTTTTTAAGGCGGGTTCGCCACACTTTAGTTATTTCAATCTGTCGATGTATCATTTACCCTCCGACGCAGGTATCAGATATTCGGAGGGTATCAAAGAGGGCAATGTATTATCTGAATAGTTCCTATGACAGCTCTTCATCGATAGCGTTCATCAACTACCGTCCGTCCTAAGCGTGCAGAATAGCAAAGTCGTAGGCAAGAAAATATGCCGCAACCCAAAATGCAGGATTACGAAAAGCAACTCTCTGTTTGATATTCTATGAAAAACTAAAAAGTTAAGCTTTCGAAATACGAAAAGTGAATACCTGAGCGAGCTAGTAGATGTGGTAGATAATAAGTGTTAAAACCACCAACTGTAAATATTACAGCTGCGCCTAAGAATTTCCACCTAGATAGTCTTGTACCAGTTCTGAGAGTGTCAGCGCCGCTTGCTTCAGCCGAAGAGCTTATCAATGACGACTGTAAAGAACCAAATTAACGTTGCCGAGGAATTTAGTAATAACAGTTTTGAAGACATGTAGACCCTCAAAGCGGAAAGCTAGATGCGTCGTTTTCTTTTCCAGTAATCCCGAAGTTGTTATACAGCATATATTTACTTTCATACAAAAACGCACAACACAACAGTAGCTGATGTTTCGGCAGCATCGTCTTCTTCAGAGTCTGGAAGGGTATACTGATATGCAATTTACCAGGCCAAACGCTTCAGTAACACATACAAAAAGACAGGAAACTCTATGGCAATTACGTGATCAACAGATCAACAGCTTCTCGAAAAACTCACCGCTTCCAAGGTGGCTTCCACTGAGGAAGATTAGAACAGCTAATTATAGTCGTATATGGCTGATGACTGCTCCATCCTACATCACAAATTGATGGAAAGATACGGGTCCTGGTCGCGTGTGACCTCTGGGCATTCCTCCCTGCTATTCATGAAGAGGGTGCTAAAGGTGGAGTAGCGCGAATTGGCTCGGCAAATAGCCATATCCGACGGCTACGGAATAGAAGCCACCCACCAAAACGAGACACTTGGCCGAAAGTCCCGTTTACGTTGCTCTTTATTATCTATGAAATAAGTGTAGCAATAAAGCGATGTTTAAGAAGGGCAGATCTTGAGGAATCGATAGCGATAACTGAAATTCCACCACAGATACCCCACGTCGTCAGTTAATTCGTAACCGCCTGTATGACCGTCTATGTGAAACAACAAATTGCGTAATTTGCCCCTACGGCAGGGAGAGTGATTGCATGAGTTCAGGTACGATATACCCGACCTCTTGTAATAATTGCGGAGATGAATATATTGGCGAAACGGGCAGACCTTTGTGTATCCGTATAAAAGGACACCTAGATGGCAAACGAAAACTAAGACGAAGCACCCCACTAGGCACGAAAGCATATGATACAAAAGCATAGCGGAGACGATTTTGAAGCAAAAGTCAATATCCTTGGACAAGAGACTAAGACACCAGCGCGAAAACTTCTTGAGGCTTTTTGGATAAATGCCAAAACCCTACAATGAATAGCAGGGATGAATGCACAGAGCTCATACGCGACCTGACCCCGTATGTTCGTATCAATTTTTAATGTGGGGTGGTGCAGTCATCAACCATATGCGACTATAATCAGCTGTTCTAATCTTCCTCATTGGAAGTCACGAAAAAAGCGGTGAGTTTTTCGAGAAGTTGTTGATCGTGTAATTGCCATATAGATTCTCGTTCTTCTGTGTGTGTTATCGAGGCACTTGGCCTAGAAATTACGTTTAAGTGTACCCTTCCAGGCTCTGAAGAAGGTGATACTGCCGAAACGTCAGCTACTGTTGTATTGTGTGCTTTTATACAGAAGTAAATGTATGCTGGATAACAACCTCGTGATTGCTGAACAAGAAAATGACGCATTTATAGTCCAATGCCAAGGTTAATGGAAAGTCGACAACGGGAACTGCAGAGATAGAGAATGGATTCTCGCAATACCACCGCTGCTTTTCTCTGACGCGTAAAAGATAAATATCATGGAAGGAAGTACATACTCGATAGGTAATCAGTATACAAAGATATTAATTTGTGCTATAAATTAGCGACAGCGTTAGTCATATATGACTTACGTGGGCTAAATCAGTTCGAAAAGTGTGAGTTGCACATGGATCAAAATGTGAACAGTGAAAAATTTAGGCGCAAGACTTACAGCGTAAAGAAGTCATCATCATTAACGTAGCTATCCGATATACTATCTACAGAAGAGCATCTTGCCGTCATGAACCGCTTGCATTCTAGCGTTTTGCCACAACTTTTCACGGAGCCACTTATTATAAGCACGAAATGTCGAGAGTTAATGAAACACCATCCTAAAAGCAGAAGAATGACGGTGTTAGACATACCGCTTGATCAGTGGAGGCCATCTTGTGAAATAACAGGAGAAAAATGAACTTGCTGCATCCTTCGTTGAATTGTAATCACTGAAAAACAACCTTGGATAACGAAGTTATATATGTACATCAAATAGTTATTGATGTCTCATCTTGTTTTAGGGGTGCGTGTGGCGGTGGTCGGAGGGGCCCTGCAACACGTACTTGGAATAGATCCCCGAGCTCACCAAGCCTTCCATCCCTCCCGGGTCGGCAAAGTGGTGGTAGAATTGTCTTGGAGGATAGCAGCACTGGCTCGATACATGGATAACCCACCACGAGTCATTGTAAAAGGCCAGATATGGATTCAATCACCTTCAAGGATACTTAATGAAGTCGAATGCATGGCGCATCCCTCAAGATTGATGAACGACGAGCGCTTCCTTCTTTTATCATTTATCATCCTGTTTTATGCTTTTTGCTATTCGTGTTTTATGCTTTTTGCTATTCGGGCTGATTATGTTCGATTGTGTATTTCCATATTTTATTTTTTAAAATATTTTCAGTAGATGTGTGTGTGTGTGTGTGTGTTCTCTGCATGTGCAGTCTGCTTCTGATCAAAGGCTCTCAACGTGGGCACATGTTCAGCACTATAGCCAGGTAGCTGTGTTTAGCCCTCTCAAGAGAACCATCGATCATCTAATAGGCACAGAACTTAGTGCCCATCTTCGTGGTTACTGATCTCATAGTGTTCTGCTTCAAAAATCTGATAAAACCTCCAGCACTGATCAAATTATGAGGGATCCGGTTGGTTTGTATTCGACTTCGCTGAGCATCTTTAGAGGTGACTGGATCTATGACTGGCCTGTAAAGTGATTTACGATGATGTACCGATGCATCACGCCGATGCTGCTATACTCTCAGACAAGTTTGGTACCAATTTGCCGTTCACGAAAGACGGGTGAGTAGAACTATGAGTTGACTTTAAGAGGATGGAAACGTTCTCTAGGGCGACCACCTACATGTTGAGCGGATGTGTTTGTGATTCTTGCAAACTATTTTCATTACGAACTGCAAATGGCCGTAGAATCATACTAGCACGCGTCACCATATTCCATGTGGACCTTGCTCATAGACTGTGAAGGTAGGAAACGAATGGAGGACATGTTAAGATTCGCAGATCTCGTGATGAAGTGTTGTCTAATTATCCAGTTACGTATTTCCTTTATTCTACGATGACACAACTGAACAGAAAGGTTGCCAAGACGTTTTAACAACTCTAGAACTACTGTAAAGGGCAGATAACACAATGGTAGTGATGCCGCTCATCACGAGCACGTTGCTAGTTTGTTTCCGCACCAGGCTCACCAAGCCTCTTCTCTCTCCGGGCTTGGAAAATTGGTAGCGGATTTGTCCGGGAAGAAAATCACTCTCTACAATCCAATTGGAAGCGCTCTAGGCCAGCTATTTCAGAACTCCAGTGAGAATGGACTCGACCAGCATTTTACGACATTCAAGATGAAATGAAAATCCTGAAGCAGCAGTTGAAGCCACGCGTAAAGTGTTGGATGACATTAGTAGAAGATGTATGCTAGGAAACGAATGGAATGTGAGTTCTGCTATCCGCACAGTAGATGTGAAAATGGGTCGTGTAAAAAAAAATCAGGAAAGCCACTACATGGACCACCCGTAGCTCGGATGCACGGACTCAAACATTTAGTTCGTTATGGAAGATTAGACAATATAAACTGCTGGTCGAGTGGGACGTCCATGGAGCAAATGCGATGAGGTGATTTCGTTGTCCTCAGTGTTCTTGTTAAATGAATGCAGAGCTCATTGGAAAGTTGAGGCGATAGCTTCGTCAAGTGGAATATTACTATGATGTACTTGACTTGTTAACACTTGCAAGACAAAATTTAACTGCAATCATTGGCGACTTCAAATACAATATTGCTCTCTGACAGAACATCCGAATAGAGCACATGATCGAGTGATTAGATATGAACTAGTAAGAAGCACAAAAGGTGACCTTAAAAAACATTCATATCCCATTGCCGGCTTTCATTTAACGTCGAGATTAATAACCAATACTTTGCTTCGATAGGTTTATACGAGGTCGTTGAAAATCTTTATTGCGGGCAGTAGTAGTTTCTTGTGATGTTGGTATTTATAGTCGGACCGAGTCAAATCAAGTGCACTGGAGTCCTGCGTGAGTGAAGTGGGAATAGAGGACATCCACGGTGAATATTCTCCATCTTTTTCTGTTAGTAGACATTTCTGACGATGAGTAAGTGTTGTTCTCAATGATCTTTTCTCCAATGTTCCCATGCGTTGCAAAATTGCTCGGCGAACTGGATCTTATCTTTCAAAGATTTCATGACACACATTTCAGAAAGTGTAATAAAATTTTCCAGCTCTGGATGCTCTTTTTGAGCAACCAGCCCTCTCGAGTATTAACTTCATTCACTCCATGAGCACGCTTTAAGAATTGCTGCTGATTTTTCAACACATTTCATCCAACATCCTGTGACGCTTCCTCTAGGTCGCAGTCCACTTTAACGGCGTGGCGTTGCTGTCCTCCCACGACTTTAGCACTCTACTGTAGA